CGTGGAATTTTTTTCATCCGACCTGGAAAAACCTGGAAAACTCAGGGAATTTGATTCCTTTGATTGAGTAGACACCCTGATAAAGGGACTGGCATATCGAGAGGCGCTGGTTTCCCAAACGGTGTGCCCGTTCGAGAGCCACCAGGAATATTCTCTGGAACGGCAGGGAGTGCTGGGATATCAGGAGGTAGCCATACATTGTATTTCACCTAAGTATCCTCGAATTCTCTGTACACAATCCCCTGTGGCCAAGTTTCAGGGTTCAAAGCGTTTTCTTTTAGTTCCATTGGGACGCCGACCATGTAGGAGATGAAGTTCATCGATTGTGGATCGGTGCTTTTTTTCACTAAGGAGACGACTTTAACTGGTTCAGTCGTTCGCAGTCCATCACGAACAAGTTTCTCAACCACATCCCTTTTAACACTGGGGTGAAACCGGGAAAGGTAAACCCAAAACAGGTTTGATGGTGCATTGACAGCGAGTGTATCGCTAGTTCCAGTGACTCTTGTTCCACTAACTTCAGTGAAGTGTCTTTGTTTATTTGGTTCTACATCAACAGACTGGGTTTAGTCCTAATGATGGATTAAGCAATACTAGGAAATACAATATAGTCAAGAAGTAACAAGCTGCAAAGGCCGTGAAGTCCAACTTAATTCCTAATTATTCAAAATATATCACGGAATCTCTGAGTGAAAATCAAATAAGGAAGCAACACGATTGAAACCCCTTTGTAGCCTATTGATAGCACCCTACGAACTATAGTTTGTACGACGAAAAGGTATCCTCAGCATTGCGTTGTTACGGAGTGCTCGTGGTTGAACGTTAAAGTCGATTTGTTGTAGAATAGAAGGACAATCGATTCTGCCCTGTAGAATGTCTGCCACAAACAGGGCTCTTGTCTTATCTCTTCGACTCCATAAAGGATCCAGGTGAATTAACTGGCACCGACTTCGTAGCTTGAAAGGCGATGAGGATCCCTCCAAGGCAATCGTCGAAGGACAAACCAGATGAATCATCGTTGTACTCTTTGTACACTGTTTTGGTAATTGGGATTCCATTCAGGGCAGCAGTATTCTAACACCGACCCGACGAGGGAGCAGTGAAGCGACTTCAAGTAGATGTCCGTGAAACTTTTAGCTATCCTGAAAATGAAGCCGAGCGTTCTGGATGCCTTGTCGATCACATACGAGATATGCTGGCTGTATGTGAGTTGACAATCTAAGATGACTCCCAGATCCTTAATGTGATTCACACGATGTACGTCAACGTTTTCTAGGATATAACTGAATGTAATTGGATGTTTCTTCCGTGAGAACGTGATTACTGAACATTTTGTTGGATTTACAACCATGCGGTTCAGTTGGCACCAATCAGCAAAAGCGTTGAGTTGGAGTTGGAGAAGATGGTAGTCAGCTATGGCTCGGATTCGGAGATAAATTTTCATGTCGTCTGCGAACGACAGTCGTGAACCGTCGAGGACGAAATTGACGTCATTGAAATACACAAGAATTATCAACGGGCCGCGGAATATCCGAAGTGGCAGGGAACGAAGGAGATCGGCAGTCGTCGATTGCGACTTCCAACTGAAGATCAGATAGATAGGATGCGAACCATCGTAGTAGACTGCCGTTTATACCGAGCCTATCCAGTTTGGCGCTCGCTATAGGATGGTTCAACTAGTCGAAGGCGGCTGATAGGTCAGTGTAGATGACATCTGTTTGCATATGGTCTGTCATACTCTCCGATGTACGAGGTGAGACACAGAAAGTTGGAAGTAGTCGACCGCCCTGCCATGAAACCATGCTGGTCTTCGCTCAAGTGCTGCTTGAAGTGAGAGACTGATGGTTCCATAGCGACCAACTCGAACAGTTTAGATATGGCACACAACAATGTGATGCCGCGATAGTTGTCGATGTTTCTTTTGCATCCCTTCTTATGCACTGGAAACATCTCAGCTGATTTCCAGCAGGAAGACAACACCCCACTGGAAAGGGACATTTCGCACAGAAGACAGAGAGGAGCCATCAGGCTATCGATGTGTTGCTTGAGAAAGACGGAAGGAACTCCGTCAGGTAAAGGCTTAAATGAAGACTTCAGTTGCGAAGCCGCCCTAGTTATCATAGCGAGGTCGATGTTGATAGCTGCCAAAGATTCACCAGACATTGGAACATTACTGGCTGCTAGAGAAACGTTCTCGTCAGGTAGGTTCTCATCCGAGAATACACTCGCAAACTTGGTTGAGAACAGACGGCAAATGTCCTGAGGGGATGAAGCTTCTTCGCCGTTCAGTGCCATAGTCGATGGAAGGCCAGACTCCTTTCGTTGCTCATTCACATAATTCCAAAAAGTTTTCGGGTGATGTCGAAGCTTCCGTTGAACATCTCTTTCATAACGCCGATAACATTGGCGACTCGTTCGTTGATACGCATGACTGATCCTTGCATAATGGTCCTTGAGTTGTAGGCTGTGGTGCTTGGTGTATTTTTTTAGCGCGGCTCTTTTGGAAGACTTTAACATACGGAGTTGACCTGTTTGCCAAGGATGATGATTGCCTTGTTTAGGAACTTTTTTCGGAACGTGTCGCGTAATGACGTAAGTCAAAATATGCGAGAGCGTTTGGGCAGCTGCATTAACATCGGCAGGGACGAGTATCCTGTGCCAGTCCAAATTCGAAAGAAGCTCCTCGATACTGTCGTGGTCAGCATTTCGGAAATCGTAGGAGACCTCTAGGGGGTGGAGTGACCTCAGGAATTTGGTTGCCTTCAAGTGCAATGACTAAAGGAGGATGGTGTGGAACAATCTTTATCAATGGAGAAACAGCCCTAGACAAATGCGGAGCTGTATCCTGAGCGTTGACGAAGCAAAGGTCTAAGCTACGATTGTTCTCATTAACCACGTGGTTGATTTGCGTCAGAGTGGCGATACTGTAATGATCTGAAAGGCTTACAACTCCAGAGTGAAATGTAGAACGGTCGTGGTCCGGATACAGGAATCCACCGTAAGATGATCGCCAAGAAATTGCCGGTAGATTGAATTCGCCAAAGATTATCATCTCATCAGCAGCTGTAGCGATCTGTAGCGTTACTATCAAAACAAACAAGTTCAAAATGGCGGCAGTTGCCACTACAGTAAGAATGCGCAACAGTGGTATCGCGATAATGGAGTAGACGTCATTAAGAAGGGGATGAGAACCCCCCATACTGCCCGGATTTCCGCCAAATCGAAATGTATTGAGGTATTATCAATGTTAAACTGAAGAAGAGTGGAAAAATGGCTGAGGATGCTATTTCACTGGCCAGATACTGCAAAAAAAGCAGCCAAAATGTAGCCAAACTGATTGTGAGATACATCCGATTGAAGGCGTACCGATTCTGGTGAAAATGTAAATTTCTATTTAAATTCTCAGCATAATGGTGTACAAAATTGATGTTAAATTATGTTAATATGTTGCGTTTTTTTTAGAAAACCATTCCAATGGATGCTAAGGCTAATAAGATCCTGAAAGAGTTTAAACAAATATTGCACGATGGGTACAAAAAGTGCGAAAAACCTGTTTTGTCATACTGTCCACAATTTAGAAGACGAGCAAAATCTAAGATCATAAAAGTACCTAAAAGATTTATTTTTACTTATTTTTGTGAAGTTTACTTTTTAAAGGACATGACATGAATAATTTAATTGAAGAACACTTTTTCAATTGAAATGTTTTTTTTTATGGATTTGAAAAGAAAAATTTGTCTACAACTTATTTTCGATACAGTGCTTATGATGGCCGTTACACAAAAGGCCGAAAATTGTAATCTTATAGCACAGACAAACAGACATAACACATTGAATATTTCTCAATGTAAAACATCGTCGCTGAAACATTACCGCCATCTGTTGAGTACACTGTGGTGGATAATACGCTGAACAGATAGCGGTAGTGAGTAAACGTCAAATGCAAGGGAATTTATTATGTGCGCCACAGGTGGCGGTACTGCCAACTACGATACTTTTTAATTGACCGTTAAATGCTTGTTCGATGAACAACTTGTGCGTGTTATGTTTGTTTGTCTATGTTCATACTTTCTTCTGTCTCCATCTTGATCTTACAAACTTACACAAAGAAAATTTACACACCATACAACAATGTAACATTTACGTGAATTTCACGTAGCCTTCACCCGCATGATCCATCATGCTTATAGTCCGCCAATTGAAACTATGAGTAGTCCAAATAATATGATCCTGCAATCGGCTATTTCATTTTTCAATTATTAAAAATTAAGATTATTTTTTGAATTCCAATGAAAAATAAAAACTAGGCTGTTTGGCATCCCAAATTTTCCAACATTGGTGAATGCTCATACCACAGACAAACAGACATAACTCATTGAATATTTCTCACTGTAAAACATCGTCGCTAAAACATTACCGCCATCTGTTGAGTACACTGTGGTGGACACTACGCTGAACAGATGGCGGTAGTGTGGAAACGTCAAACGCAAGGGAATTGACTATACACGCCACAGGTGGCGGTACTACCAACTTCTATACTTTTAAATTGTCCGTTAAATGCTTGTTCGATGAACAACTTGCGAGCGTTATGTCTGTTTGTCTATGTTCATACTTTCTTCTGTCTCCATCTTGTTCTTACAAACTTACGCAAAGAAAATTTACACACCAAACGACAATGTAACATTTACGTGAATTTCACGTAGCCTTCACCAGCATGACACACGGACTCGACCAGTAAATCCAGTAAATTTCATAACCATGCCGTTGAATTTTATGTGTAGCATGTAAATCCTATTAGATTCTTGTTTTTATGAAGTCACCTGTATTTTCAGATACAATCTACGTTTATCATTGGTTCAGTGTACTGATGATAATGGGAAGGAAACCCAATAATGTCTGAATTGCCGCTCTAGGAAGCCCACGCCACTTTTACATTGAAAAATTTCTGGAAATTGGTATGGTAATTCTAACTGCGTTTCATTTCTATTTACCGACAATAGGACAAATCTCGTAACGGTACATTCGTCAACGGGCACCTGATTGGAATTGAGAAGAAAATGATCCTGAAGGATGACGACGTAATAGCCCTGTCGCACCCGACCTACAAGGCACTGGTATACAAAGATATGACCCCCAGTGAAGCCAAAGGCCTTCCGAAGGAAATCCGAAGCACGTACTACTTTGGCAAGAAGCTCGGTTCCGGTGCTTGTGGTGTGGTACACCTGGTGTATGACACCAAAACGTGTACACCGTACGCCATGAAGCATGTGGTCAAAAATCTCCTAGCGGAGTGCAGCAAGCCAAAGATTCTCAACGATCCCCAGCGGGTGATGAACGAGGTCAACATCATGAAGAACCTTGAACATGTAAGTGTACTATTGGCGAACAGACAGGTGCGCTTCTAACGGTTTTTTCTTTGTTTTCATTTGCAGCCTTGTGTCATAAAAATGCACGACATCGTGAACAAGGCGGATTCCGTGTTCATGGTGCTCGAGTTTATGAAGGGTGGGGATCTGCTCAATCGGATCATCCAGAATAAGTACCTGCCGGAGAGAACGTGTAAGCTGTTCTTCCTACAGATATGCCACGCCGTTAAATATCTGCACGCCAAAGGTAAGATTTTTCTGGATTAGATCGATGGGCATTGATTGTATCACTAGACGAATGTGGAAGAAAACGCAAAAAACAACAACATGAAAATGGTGTAGAATTGTAGGCTTTTAATTTAGCATCGAAAGGTAGCTGTTTACAAGTAAATAGACCTCTGCTCAGGTAGAATATTCCTACCTGTAAAGTTAAATGATTTACGGTTTCGTTTTTGCAAACCTGTTTTCCTATGAACGAACAGCAGTAATCGAAAGGTTTCCTTTGCATCCGGATTCTAAGACTAGATTCTCTTCTTGTTTTTATTCTTTGTACCATCTGGCGGAAATGAAAGACAATTTTCCGTTAGTAATTGCACATCAAGGAGATTTTAGATGATTGCGATTGTTTAGCCTCAGTTTTCAATTAAATAGAATAACATGTCCCATATTTCCCACGCAGACATCACCCACCGAGACCTGAAACCAGACAATATCCTGCTGGAAAATGACGACGAAGAAACCCTGCTGAAGGTTTCCGACTTTGGTTTGAGCAAGTTCGTCCAGAAAGACTCCGTCATGCGAACGCTGTGCGGAACTCCGCTCTACGTGGCCCCAGAGGTGCTCTTGACCGGTGGGCGTGGTTCCTACACACGCAAGGTAGACATCTGGAGCTTGGGAGTGGTGCTATTCACGATGCTAAGTGGAACACTGCCCTTCTCGGACGAATACGGAAGTCCGGCCACCGAGCAGATCAAGCGTGGCAGATTTTCGTTCCGACATCGCTCGTGGAAGTCGGTTTCGGCCCCGGCAAAAAAGCTTATCTTCGAAATATTGACCGTCGATCCGAACACCCGACCGGCGATCGATGACATTCTCAATAGCACCTGGTTGCGCGATGCAGAAGTCATTCGCAAAGCGGAGAAGCTGATGAATGTACGGCTGTCCGGTACCAAGAAGCCATCCACTTCCGATATTGAGAACAACAACGAGAAGATCTTTATCGAACCTCCTAAGAAGCGGCAGCGTACCAAGTGACTAGGTTCCGGTGGAAGGGATTCATCGGTCGATGGAGGAGGAGGCCCGGTTCGTGTGCAGTTTAGAAAAGTAGTGAAGCTGGAACTGAGCTTTCGTTAGGTGGCGAACCGGGCGTGGTAAACATAAACGGAGAGAAAATCAGTAAGTAATTAGTGAGAGCGAAAAAACGATAAGGAGCCACTTTGAGCGATTGTGATCCTTGTATTTTTTTCTCAATTGATATTGCAATGGAGCTGATAATGTAGTTTTTTTTTACGCGTACCCTTGACTACAAGGGAATCGGTTCGTGCTCTCTTCTATGTTTATATTTGATACCTAGATGTATTTGTACAACATTCAAACATGTTTTCGTTTCGATGAGTAGGGTTGCCGGTAGAAGTTAAACTTTGCTCCACGACTCGGACTATGATGCGAGTTGCAAAAGAGCTGCCTATAATGCATTTTCCAGCGGCCACCGTTGGGAAAACTATTTTACTGCATGTTTTGGGAAAAATGTTTAACCTTTATTGAGTTTGCAAAAGTAGACACTATTTTAATAATGTAAATAAGTGCTTCTAACTGCCTTTTGAAACCGTCTGCTTCCAAAAACTGACAACGAATGAATCATTCTAAGCCAGAAGCGAAAACATGTTTACAAGGTCTGATTATTTCCGTTAAAAAACTGTGTTCTATTGATCGTAAACTGCTTTTCTTTTGTACACACCTCGTTCATCAATCACCTTACTGTACTTTTTTTTGTAACCAATACAAACTACTCAAGAAATACAAAAAACTCCTATAAACTAAATTCACTACCATCACGAAACCACTTAAGGCGGTCTGCTTAGGAATGAAACAGATCACGTTATGATAAGTACAAAATTCCTATTATTAATTAAATACGATCCATTGTCGAACTACGTAATACCATGCCATATGTACCTCTAGTGCAAGTAATTCGATGTAAACCATCGCGTGGTCTAGTGATTTGAGTATTAAATACCTAGATAAGAGAAACTAAAGATAGTTGTTAAAGTTTTACAGACATTTTTTGCAAGAAAAATAGATTAAACAAAATCATTTTGTTGAAGTTCCAAAGAGTTCGCTGAATTTGGATGACTGCCCTGATAGAATTGAACTCAAACAATCAAAAGCGAAACTACCTATAACTCATTCACCTAAAGAGCTTGCTTACATTCTTATATAATACTACGTTAGCATCTCGTTTAATAAAGCTACATTTTAAATAAAATCATGAGCACACTTTCACACATAGCTCAAACATTTTGGTATTGTGAAACGGCGGTTCCTCAAGGCCAGACGAAGCTATATTGTAATCCGGAGTGCCAGAAAGCATTTGAGCAGTCAGTCAGTCTCCCCCCCCCCGCCAATCTTATACTCACACGCTACGGGATGAGTACAGGTATCATTGCCGAAAATCGGTCGGTTTATCGATAAAATAGTTTGGGGAGTTTTCTTACGCTGGCCGATGAGATCCTACGAGGTGGAAACATGGGTGGAAAGCCGTTTCTACGACAGGAATTTGTTGAGACTCAGAAAATCATCACCACGAATGCCAGATTCGTGGGCAAGAGACAACAATCCGTTAACTTTTTAAACCGGCGATTGCATTGTTGTTGACTCGCAGACTCGCGAATAGTGTCGGATCGATGTTTTTAGAAATACTTGTAATTTTGCACAGCTGTTTGTTATTGCCCAACATGCAATTTTTTATACCTTTGGTACCTTAGTTTTGTACGCGACTAACTTCTAAAATGGGCTTATGTAAAAATGATACGCATCAATTAAAAAATACATATTTCGAGAACGGTTTATTTGATCAAGATGGTGTCTTCGGCGACATTTCGGGTAAATATTGCGCCTTTCAAGATAAAATATGCACTGAAAAATATTCTCTTTATTGGAGATTTTTTTTTTAAATCAACAACAAAATGAACTACGCAAATTGCATATTTTTTGTAGTGTAGATAACGTGTTGTGACAATCTGTTTTAGTTGGAGAACTTATAGACAACTTACCTTACCAATCAGACTAAGGCCTTGTTGTCCTCTGCCTCAGCCTCGTAGTCTGCGAAGGGTCCGCAGGTCACCTTCTACTTGGTCAATCCACCTTGCCCACTGCGCGCCTCTTCTTCTTGTTCCTGTTGGGTCGCTTTCTAGAACCATTTTCACTGGGTCGTCGTGCGGCATTCTTACAAACTGCCCAGCCCACCGTAGTCGTCCAATTTTTGCAATGTGGACGATGGATGGTTCTCCCAGCAGCTGGTGCAATTCGTGGTTCATTCGCCTCCTCCACGTTCCGTCATCCATCTGCACTCCACCGTAGATGGTACGCAACACCTTCCGTTCGAAAACATCAAGGGCGCGTTGGTCCTCCACGAGCATAGTCCAGGTCTCGTGGCCGTAGAGGACCACCGGTCTAATCAGCGTTTTGTAGACAGTCAACTTCGTGCGGCGGCGAATTTTATTCGACCGGTGCGTCCTCCGGAGTCCAAAGTAGGCACGATTCCCTGCCATAATGCGTCTTTGAGATTATCTGCTGGTATCATTTTCGGCGGAGTCCAAATACACGAACTCATCAACCACCACGATTTCGTCACCGTTAATCTAAACTCGGTATGGAAGGCTAATATTGTCTTCCCTAGAACCTCTTCCTTTCATGTATTTTGTCTTCAATGCGTTGATGGCAAGTCCAATTCGCCTAGCTTCAGCCTTCAGTCTGATGTACGTTTACGCCATCGTCTCAAGTACAAGCTCACTTGTACGTGTCTATCCCAGCTCTTCTGATCACACCTTCTAACGCGATGTTGAATAGCAGACACGAAAGTCCATCACCTTGCCGTAACCCCCATCGAGATTCAAAGGGACTCGAGAGTGTTCCCGATACTCGAACTACGCACCAGGGCTCTACATTTTCGAAGCTCTAAAATGAACTCGTTTTTTTTTATCTCATACATACGTGTTCGACGCTTCATTTCTATAACGCCTAGCTAGACTATCAGCAAGAAATGATAGTGAAAAAGAAGCACGCTTAGAAGGAAACGCTGGCTGTGGAACTTCTCGTCGTTGCTTTGCTCATTGCTTTCAATGTAACTAACGTCGATTTTCTAGTTAAACGAACCTCATTATGGCTTTCAATCCCCTTTCACGAACACTCTATCACTGATCTTTCAATTTGTTTAAAATGCGTTATGTCCCGTTTTTGATCATTTTTTTTAGATAAATATATGGATGGAAGATAAATTAAAAATATTACGTGTAATCTTCACGTGTTTTCACGTGAGAAATGCTTTAAATGTGTTATTTCATTTTCCGTCGTATACGTCATGAAACCTCTGTTGATGTGTTTCATGAAAGAGAAAACTATCAAAGTCGAGCGCTCTTTCGCTCATCCGTTTCATCGAAGCTTGAAAGGAAGACCAATGGAGCGACGGGAGAAAGAGAGACAAGCGATTGAACATTTGTTTGTGCACGCCGACTGAGGTTCTAGAATGCTGCGAAGCTGTTCGACTTTAACAGAAAAAGAAAGCCAGCAGTCTCTTCGTCGCATCGATTTGGTCGATTGAAGCTGATATTGTGATGCCCTGCTACGCACATCACTCGATCCATCGATCCATCGCCGCCTTGACCTATCGCGTCAGTTTATCCGGAAATCCGTACTCGTGCATAATCTGCCATAACTGATCTCGATCGATTGTTTCGTATGCGGATTTGAAATCGATGAATAAATGATGTGTGGACACGTTGTATTCGCGGCATTTCTGCAGAACCTGCCGAATCACGAAAATTTGGTCCGTGGTAGCGCGGGCACCCATGAATCCCGCCTGGTATTGCCACATGAACTCTCTTGCAAATTGTGACAGGCGGCGGCATAGAATTTGGGAGAGTACCTTGTAGGCGGCGCTCGGCAGTGTGATCGCGCGGAAGTTGCAGCAATCCAACTTGTCACCCTTTTTGTAGATTGGGCATACGACACCTTCCATCCACTCCTCCGGTAATATCTCCTCCTCCCAAATCTTGGCAATTACCCAGTGCAGCGCTCTAGCCAGTGCTTCACCACCGTATTTTAATAGCTCACTTGGTAGTTGATCTACACCAGTTGCTTTGTTGTTCTTCAGCCGACCGATCTCCTCCTCAACTTCTTGAAGATCAGGGGCCGGTAGCCTGTCGTCTTCTGCGCGTGCTCCAAGGTCTGTTGCCGTGCCACCTTCGTTTTCTGCTGCATCACCGTTGAGGTGCTCGTCATAATACTGCTTCCACCTCTCAATCACCTCACACTCGTTCGTGAGAAGGTTACCGTCCAAGTCCTTGCACATATCGGCTTGCGGCACGTAGCCTTTGCGTGAACTATTTAGCTTCTCGTAGAACTTCCGTGTGTCGTTTACGCGGTACAGATTTTCCATCGCCTCGCGATCTCGGTCTTCCTGCTGACGCTTCTTCCTTCGGAAAACCGAGTTTTGTCTGTTCCGCGCTTGTCTGTATCGCTCCACATTCAATCTCGTGTGGTGTTGCAGCATTCTCGCCCGTGCTGCATTCTTCTCCTCTACTAACAGTATGCATTCGCCGTCAAACCAGTCATTTCTTCGGTCCGGGATTGCAGCACCTAGTGCCGCTGCAGTAGTACTACCTATGGCTGAACGGATGTCCCTCCAGCCATCTTCAAGAGAAGCTGCGCCAAGCTGCTCTTCCGTGGGTAGTGCAACCTCCAGCTGCTGCGCATAGTCCTGGGCAACTCCGGCGTCCCGTAGTTGCTCAATGTTGGGTCGCGGCGTTCGACTTCGACGTGTGTTATGCACCGTCAAGAGTTTTGAGCGCATGCATACTGCAACTAGGTAGTGGTCCGAATCTATGTTCGCACTGCGGTACGTGCGGACGTTGATAATGTCGGAGAAGAATTTCCCGTCGATTAGAACGTGATCGATTTGGTTTTCTGTGTGTTGGTCAGGTGATCTCCATGTGACTTTGTGGATATCCTTGCGAGGGAAAAATGTACTTCGGACTACCATACCCCGAGAGGCTGCAAAGTTCACGTATCGTTGGCCGTTGTCGTTCGATAGGCATGCAGGCTGTTTGGCCCGATTGCCGGTCTATACATTACCTCCCGTCCTACCTGAGCGTTCATGTCGCCAATGACGATTTTGACGTCCCGTTGCGAACAGCCGTCGTACACCTGCTCCAGCTGCGCATAGAACGCTTCTTTCTCGTCGTCGGGTCTCCCTTCGTGTGGGCAGTGCACGTTGATGATACTGTAGTTGAAGAAACGGCCCTTAATCCTCAACTTGCACATCCTCGCGTTGATCGGCTGCCAACCAATCACGCGTTGGCGTATCTTACCCAGCACTACAAAGCCGGTTCCCAGCTCGTTGGTGGTGCCACAGCTCTGGTAGAAAGTAGCCGCTCGATGCCCGCTTTTCCATACCTTTTGTCCCGTCCAGCCAAGTTCCTGCAGTGCTACGACTTCGAAGTTGCGTGGTTGAAGTTCGTCATAGATTAACCTATCGCTACCCGGGAAGCCGAGCGATTTGCAGTTCCATGTTCCGAGTTTCCAATCGTAGTCCTTATTTCGTCGCGTAGGTCTGTGCCGATTGTTCCGATCCGTATTTCTTTCTTCGGTATTTGCAACTTTGTTTTTTCTAGGGCGGCTTGTTGGGCCTGTCCCAACCCCCTGTCTCGCCGGGGGACCATCGTGCACAGCTCTGTCCCACATTGGCACTAGGACGGTGATCAGTCGCTCCTAACATGGAGAACAGACGCCGTTTTGAGCCGCACCTCCATGGTGAACAGACGCTCGGGTTTGGTGAAGCATTTCTTCTATCACCGTACTATGGTTACCGCGGCAGTGTTTGCGTCGCACCTCTTCACTTTGCTATTGCCGGACTGGCAACATTGCCCAGGCTACGCCACCCAGCTGTGTCCATGTTTCCGCTGGTAGTCTTTTGTTATCATATGACTTGAGAAGGCGTGAAGTAGGGACTTGTGAGGACCAAGGCTAGGTATTCCGCTCCATCAAGGTTGTCAACTCACCATTTTGTAGCCCAACCGGATTGTCTCTTGCCTGCTACCATTCACGCCTGCTGACGCTGCATGCATCGACGCAGGCATCCTGCCTTTCCGCTTCCGCATAACCGCAGCTATCGCAAC